ACAGGGCTCCAGGGGTGGATGAGATTCGCCCTGATTTCCTTAAGGCTCTGGATGTTGCGGGGCTGTCTTGGTTGATACGCCTTTGCAACACTGCATGGACATCGGGGGCAGGGCCACTGGATTGGCAGACTGGGGTGGTGGGTCCACTCTTCAAAAAGAGGGACCGGAGGGTGTGCTCCAATTATAGGGGCGTCACTCTCCTTAGCCTGCCTGGTGAGGTCTCTCCAGGGGTAGAAGCGACCCTGATTACCTGACTTCAGAAACACACATTTAGAAATACCACATAAACTTAGATTAATCTAGATAGATAGATGGTCTGTTGGTCTGTATCTCATGAACAGCTTGTTGAATTATTTATGAAACTCACAGAAAGTAATCATCAGATGTATCTCTAGAACTGATTAAACTTTTGGAGCCATTTTGGTTCAAGATGGCTGCCACATCTACCTCAGTCAACACAAAATTGACTAGAACTCAGGCACTCTTTGAGATATTGAGCTGAAATTTGGTGTGGCGGTAGCTGAGAGTGAACTGTATTGTCAAATCCAAATTTTAAAATGGCCGCAACGTGGGAGTTTCTGTCAAAGTTTTTCCAGGAACTTTCTAGTCCTGCTGCAGCCTTTATTGCAGTGGTTGCTGAGGTCAGCCGATCAGATGCTTTTACTGGTTCCATGCACGTGATGCAACTTAGAGGTGATAGAACTTTTTCTGTTGCAGGTCCAAAACTCAGGAATGATTTGCCACTCTGTGTTAGGCAGTGTCCATCTCTTGCAACCTTTGTCTCATTTAAAAACAAAGTTCACTTAAGCAAACCATACAAAATCGGTTGAGGCCCAGGTTAATGATTGTCACTTGTTCTATTGACCAACAGGGTGCTGATGGGAATTGTGCTACTGTTAGTTGAAGAGCACGAGGACGGAAACGTGTCGGGAGACTGAGGGAGAAGCAGAAAGTCATGAGTGTAGGGCTGAGGATAACGGCTCTAAATGTGGTGACACTGATAGGCAAAGACATAACATGATGCAGAGAAGGAAGGTAGATTTATAATGTGTGCCTGAGATTGAGTTGGACTGCAGCACTGGAGCAGCCTTGTGCACGTAGGCAGTCCATAGGACCCTGAATTCTGGATGGCTTCTTGGGTCAATTACTTTTTTCACTCATTGACCTGCAAGACAACCTTTAACTTTCTGTGTAATGTTATTTTTGTAGATTTTTAGATATTATTTTGTCCTTCCTTATAAAAATTAAACTTAACAATTTCAGACTTTTCTTTGCAAGTGGACAAATATCAGCGAGGATCAACGTAGCACTGACAACTAAATGTAATGGTTCACTGATCTTGTGCATTGATGTCCTCTATTGCCAAGAAAAAACCAGCAGCTTAATTTGATCTAATTTCAAGCTTGTTTGTTTTTTACAAGCACAAAACATTGTCTAAAGAAAAAAACTTGTTTGCCAATCGTTTCTTTGGTCTTCAGTGAAAAACAAGAACTCAGAATAAACCTCAAACCTCCCCACAAGGAAACGAGTCACTGCCAGCAATTCAAATGTTCGGCGGATTTCTGCAGGTTTCACATCAAACTTCACCTGAGCCATGAATCCTGCTCACCCCACCGAGGCCTGTCCACCTGAAGCTGTTGCACTGCAGGGCAGGGGTCCCGGCAGGTTTCCCGGACAGCCTGGGGGTCCAAATGTGGTTCAGTACACCACCGTGAACATCGTTGCAGAGCCTCCAAGTGACTACGTCGTTTGGTCCATTTGCAACTTTATCTACGGAAACATGTTTTGTCTCGGATTGGCAGCATTCATCTTTTCCATCAAGGTGGGTTTGTACAACCTTTAGGTTATTTGTTCTTAAATAATAGAAGCAGTTTGGGGATGATTTTAATATTTTTCTTTTCCGAGTGTGAGGGAAATGTGGTCCCGTTTGCTGCAGATAATCTTTCAGGATGAGTTTGAGCTCAGCAGGTTTGGGCTCCCTGCATGTTGGAGATGTTTTGGTGTTAAAAGTTCCTGTTTTGAACATTTCAGAGCAGAGATCGGAAGGTGGTTGGTGATCATCAAGGTGCCCGGCACTACAGCTCCACCGCTCGCTGTCTCAACATCTGGGCCACCGTCTTGAACATCATCATACTTTTATTTTGTATAATTTTACTCATTTCTGTGTCTGTGCAGACGAGCAGAATGATGCACCATTATTACCGTAAATGACTATCCTCCTGTGCAAAGAGCAGTCCAACGCCACAGCTCTTTACTGGGTTCTGCTCTCATGATACCTCTGTTTAAACATTTGCTTCATATTTACATTATTTGTTGTTGCAAACAATTTTGAAATCAGGTTATGCTATTAGGCCTAAACTGTGTCTGTCTTATTTAGATTGCTTTAACAGTTGGCTTGCATAATAAAACTTCATAAGTACTCATTTGTGTTTCGCAGAATTGTTATTTTGAATAATAAAAGTCAGAGATGTGAGGTGATAATTTATTCTGTGATCCATTTTTATTGCTAATCCAGGAGTTTGTTTTTGCAAGCAAATTTTTTCTCATTAGGCAAGCTCTTTTTAATTTACTCAATTTATGCAAATATGGGAAAGGCTGAAAAAGTTTGATACAAGAACAATGTACATTTTCTTGTTTTTAAATGATTCTTTTAATTATGGCTCTGGAAAAACCTTCAACCAGAAGGGTTACAGAACTGAACATTACACCCCCCCCCCCCACCCCCCATCACACAATTTTCTTAAAAAAATTAGCATATTGTTATAAAGGTCATTATTTTCCATAATGTAATGATAAAAATGAAACTTTCATATATTTCAGATTCATTGCACACCAACTGAAATATTTCAGGTCTTTAATTGTTTTAATACTGATGATTATGGCATACAGCTCATAAAAACCCAAAATGCCTGTCCCAAAAAATTAGCATATCATGAAAATGTTCTCTAAACAAGCTATTAACCTAACCATCTGAATCAACGACGTAACTCTAAACACCTGCAAAAGATTCCTGAGGCTTTTAAAAACTCCCAGCCTTGTTCATTACTCAAAACCACAATCATGGGTAAGACTGCCGACCTGACTGCTGTCCAGAAGGCCATCATTGACACCCTCAAGCAAGAGGGTAAGACACAGAAAGAAACTGCTGAACGAATAGGCTGTTCCCAGAGTGCTGTATCAAGGCACCTCAGTGGGAAGTCTGTGGGAAGGGAAAAGTGTGGCAGAAAACGCTGCACAACGAGAAGAGGTGACCGGACCCTGAGGAGGATTGTGGAGAAGGGCCGATTCCAGACCTTGGGGGACCTGCGGAAGCAGTGGACTGAGTCTGGAGTAGAAACATCCAGAGCCACCGTGCACAGGCGTGTGCAGGAAATGGGCTACAGGTGCCGCATTCCCCAGGTAGAGCCACTTTTGAACCAGAGACTGCGGCAGAAGCGCCTGACCTGGGCTACAGAGAAGCTTTTTTTTTTTTTTTTTTTTTTTTTTTTTTTTCTTTTTTCGGATGAAAGCAAATTTTGCATGTCATTCGGAAATCAAGGTGCCAGAGTCTGGAGGAAGACTGGGGAGAAGGAAATGCCAAAATGCCAGAAGTCCAGTGTGAAGCACCCACAGTCAGTGATGGTCTGGGGTGCCATGTCAGCTGCTGGTGTTGGTCCACTGTGTTTTATCAAGGGCAGGGTCAATGCAGCTAGCTATCAGGAGATTTTGGAGCACTTCATGCTTCCATCTGCTGAAAAGCTTTATGGAGATGAAGATTTCATTTTTCAGCACGACCTGGCACCTGCTCACAGTGCCAAAACCACTGGTAAATGGTTTACTGACCATGGTATTACTGTGCTCAATTGGCCTGCCAACTCTCCTGACCTGAACCCCATAGAGAACCTGTGGGATATTGTGAAGAGAAAGTTGAGAGAACAAGACCCAACACTCTGGATGAGCTTAAGGCCGCTATCGAAGCATCCTGGGCCTCCATAACACCTCAGCAGTGCCACAGGCTGATTGCCTCCATGCCACGCCGCATTGAAGCAGTCATTCATGCAAAAGGATTCCCGACCAAGTATTGAGTGCATAACTGAACATGATTATTTGAAGGTTGGTGTTTTTTGTATTAAAAACACTTGTCTTTCATTGGTGGGATGAAATATGCTAATTTTTTGGGACAGGCATTTTGGGTTTTCATGAGCTGTATGCCATAATCATCAGTATTAAAACAATTAAAGACCTGAAATATTTCAGTTGGTGTGCAATGAATCTGAAATATATGAAAGTTTCATTTTTATCATTACATTATGGAAAATAATGACCTTTATCACAATATGCT